CGGTTTTTTTATTTTTATAATTTTTAAAAAATTCAATCGATTTTACCCCCAAAATACCCTAAAATCAATTTTTTAAAGAAAATGTAGAAACCGAACCAAACCGAAATATCTGAATATATCCAAACTATCCGAAATTATCCAATTTTACCTGATTTTATCCGATTTTGAATAAAATTTCAAAACTTTCGGGGAGTTTCGGTTATAAAACAAAATATCTTAACTAACGGATATCCGATCCGAACCGAAATTTATTTTGATTATTTTCAGTAGAATTATTGCTATCTGAACTACCCGATTATCCAAAATACCAGAAATCCGAATTATACAAAATCCCAGCACTAGTATTTTTGTATGGAATCCTTCAGATAACATAAGAGATTTGAAAATTTTCGATCTCTATTTAATTGACACTGTCTACAATTTGCAGATTGCACTGTAGTAAAACATCAGAATGTGATAAAGGTGCAATGGTCCTTCAAATTTTATGGGCGTTCTACCTATAAAATTGCCTTCCATATTGTCCTACCAATGTAAGGAATCATAGAGAATTTTATGCTTTTTGATTTGTCCATCTTTTTCAGGATTTGAAACCATTCCCAGAAATGGGAAATTCTGAAGTCATTCACAAAACACGAATCAGGATATGCGAAGCCTATTCTCTTTGGTATCATCTGTTGAAGGATATGCACTCTGCATTTTATAATGATTTCACTGTTGCTCGAATTTTATCACTACCCAATTTTGTGATTCTTTCCTCTTGCGCTAAACCATCTTGCTATGTCTTTCCCAGTTTAGATAACCATCTTGTTATTTTCTCCGCGGGAATAGCAGTTTTATAGTTTGGGGATCTAGAAAGCTGTAGTTTTGAAGCAGAGTGTTGGAAGTACCAACTCTGTTATTTTAGCCTTCCTTTGTTCACAATGGCCATTTCGTCACTTACCCCACTCTGGCTTCTTGCTTAAAGATGATTAGACCAAAATAAGTCAACCTTCTCTTTCTCTTGTACAATATTCATATATATATATATTGATGTGATCAT